GAGCACCAGCTATCGACATACATTCTTGATATGCGTTCAAGCGAGGAGTTCTCATCTTTGGACAACATTGCAGATCTAGCAAAACAAATTGTTAAGGCTAAAAAAGATATCGTGTACCCCTTAGTTCATCGACTTCTTGTTTTAGCATTAACTTTGCCCGTTGCCACCGCTACAGTGGAGAGAGCATTTTCAGCAATGAAAATTGTTAAACATAGATTGCGCAGTAAAATGGGTGATGATTGGCTCAATGATTGTCTAGTTCCATATATTGAAAAAGAAGTATTTGATTTGGTTCCAAATGAAGTTGTAATGCAACATTATCAAAAAATGCAAAATAGAATGCAAAGCTTGTAATTTTTATTTCAATTTAATAATTTGTTTGAGTTTTGTTATATATATTCTTTTATAATTTTGCCCCCCCTAACATTTAAGGCTGGTTCCGCCCCTGCCTTCCAATGATCCCACATGATATTGGTCATGATTGTAATAGAGATCATCCAAGTAGTGAGTTGTCCAACATAAGCCACTCATCACAAATCGAGGAAAAGAGAGGACATTCTCAAACAAATATTTCATCCAACTCTTATCTCTGAATTGACAAATAAAAATGAATGAAGAAAGAACTAGTTCTCATTGGACAAAGAATGGCCTAGATGTACAAAAATTTAGAGCATGAATCATACCATGACATCACTCACAACTCACGGGATTAGTAGAGCGATGAAGAAGAATGAGCATGAGTACTAAGGGCATGAGAAATGAGCATTCACAAGCATCAGTGAGCTTTCTGACACAGGAAATCGAAGGAGAACATGAGACGAACCTGCGAGCAAATATGAGCTGGCATGAGCGCAGGTCACAAAAACGAAAAGGAGCGAGGGATGTGAGGAAATAAGAAAATTTTATTGTAGATATTATAAGTTAATAATTTTAGATGTTAAATATATAAGTATGATAGTTTTAAATATTATGTAGGTTTTTTTTTTAATAATGAATAAATAAAGGGGTTTTTACATACATAACACTTCAAACTTATATATTTACTAATCTAACATCCAAAGTATACTATTTACATACCTACCACCTAAATACACCATGTTTCATCTAAAATACAACTCCGTCAGAACTCCGCCCCGACTCTGCCCTTTGCGCATGAAATCCCTTCTTCTTCGTCACTGCCTCGTTGGAGTGTCTAGACAGCTTAGGAATCGAGACCCACCCGCTTCCATCTTCATTGATGCCATGGTAAGGCTTGACAGAACGAAGCGCCTGGACCCTTTATATCTTCCTCAACTTGGGTCGTCTCATCTCCTATACAAAGAAAACATAGTTTTCCTCCTTGGCATCATCTAGCTACAGATATCATAGGTATGAGAACTCCACCGCTGGTAGATTTGGGCTATAGCTTCTCTTTATTCTTCTTCTTTTTGGATTTCTTCAGCTCGTCAGTGATCAGTCCATCCTCCACCTCTCTACTATGCAGCTGGCTTCTGCAGTGATCAGAAATCTCATGATTCCTGTGGCAACCAAATTCAATTTTTTTCTTGCTTATGTTTATATAAATGTAAGTGAATAGAGAATTTACAAAACTGAAAATATGTAATTCAGAGAGAGAAACTGGATAGGTGACTTAAAAAACATAATCTAAAGTTCAGATTCACACATTGCCGCTGCTGCCGTGATTGCCTTCTCCAGCGACCTCTTGTCGCGACTTTCTACTCCGATGGCGTCACAGATTTCAGGAATTTTGGGGTGGAAAAAGGAAGATTTGTCTTCCTCTTCCCACGTCGTTGGGTCGGGTAGACACTCCAGTGACGAAGAAGAAGAGATTTCACGAGCGAAAGGTAGAGTCGGGACGGAGTTCTGACGAAGTTGTATTTTTGATGAAATGGGGTGATGGTAGATATGTAAATACTAAATAGTATACTTTGAATGTTAGATAAATAAATATAATAATTTGAAGTATTATGTATGTAAAAATCCTATAAATTAAATATAAAATGTGCTGCTAAAATTTATGATAAAAAAATATTCTCACGTGCAATTATTATTTTTATAAGTCGCTCCTAAATATCCTGTCAGTCCTAAAAAGCTGAGCTTATTTTACTTATTTATTTATTTTTCTCTTACGGGAATGTTGGTATCTTTGATTCTGCAATCACAACGAATCTGAACCAAAAAAAGAAACCCGCAACGTGCCGGAGTTTCCATACAAATCGTCACAGAGGGGCGCTGAATCGCGGCGATGTTCGCGTATCGGATCGCCAGCCAGATTCTTCCAAAATTGTTCACAGCCGCATCTTATGCGCGGGCCCTAGGCGCCGACCGGTCTCATTATTTCTTTGGCTCCCAGCTGCTTCTCTCTTCAAGTTTTTGTATCTAGCAGCTAGGGTTTAGAGCTGATGATGGCCGAAAAGGACGACGAACTGTTCATGGAGGACGGCATTGGCGGCAGCGATGGTGATGACGATGGGGAGAGCAGCGGTGGTGATAGTGGAAGCGAGGTGGAACAGTATGGGGAGCCTTCGTCGTCTTTCCGCTCTTACCAGTGGCCCCGAAGCTACAGGTATTTTTCCTCCAGTTTCTGCTTCGGGGGATTTGGAATTGGGTCAAAATTCAATAGGCGTGTGGATGCCCGAGGGGAACGGAGGAGCTGAAAAACAGAGGAAAAATTCCGTACAGGAAGAGCATTTAATAGAGAAGATGCGCTAATTAATTAGATGAGAATGAAGAAATTCATTACATAACCCAAAAAAAAAAATCATCACACTATATATATATTTCTGAGAGCTGCTGACAAAGCATGTGGCGCTATAATCATGAACTATAGACATGAAAAGAGAATAGCACATGTGGCAGTGTTAGTGCTGATATCTGTATTTCCTCCCCTTAAGTTGATAATCCAAGGATTGAATCATTAACTTGTAACGAAGCTTGAGGAAGGGAGTAGTGGACAATGCGTTAGTGAAGGTATCAGCAATTTTATCATGAGAATTGATTTGGAGAACAAATAATTTCATTTGAAAGAATGCTTTCTAAGATAAAATGGTAGTCAATGTCAACATTTTTTATTATAGCATGAAACATAGGGTTGTTGGTTGTTTACCAGAATCTGATAGTCATTGATGAGACAACAAAACCGTATAATGTCTTAATTCATCCCAAAAAAGATACAAGGAGTAATATATGAAGATAGATGAGATAAAGGGATATGTCCTAGTGATACCATTGCTTACCCCTCTCTTATTATGATATGAGGATCATATCTTGTAAATGTTTTACCAGATTGTCTATGATCATGATTTGGGCATTAGATGTAGGAAAAACAAAAAACATCTTGATTGTTGAGGTTTTTCAACAATCCAATTTCTTAATGGAGATTCTTAGGGGTGTTGATCTTCAGATCACTCAGCCTTCAGAATTTGAAGTTTGGTGATCTAGATTAGGAGGCATGAAATAAAGATGATTGGATCAACATTTGGATTACAGTAGGATAAGCATGGCTGACTAGTCAAGTTATCGGTGTGCATTTGGTCAATTTGAATTATTTGATTTATCAATTAGCTAAACCAATTGGTTTTGGTTGTAACATTTTGAAAATTGAACCGGCTAAATTATTTTCCAAATCAAACTTAATTAAACTGAACTTTAATTTGATCCGCTGATTCGATTTTAGATGAATCAAAATAGAATTAGCTTTAATAATGCACCTAATTAGCTTTAGCTTAAAAAACATGTATAATAAGAATACCAAGTACCGCCAGTTGAAATTTATATTGTTGTCATATGGAATATTTTTATCATATTGTTGCTGTTGTTTGGAATAAATAATATCCACGTTAATCTTTCTATCTCTTGTTTATTTAAAATTTAAGGGCATTATTGATTTAATATTTGAAGAAATTAATAGAATATTATCTTTGCCTTAATTGGTTTACATAAATAAAAACCAACCAATAACTAAAAATCAAAGAAAGTCAAATTTCCAACGAATAACCAAATCTGGTAACGGGCTTAGGATATATTCAAATTTAAATTATAAGTAAAAACCAACCAATTAACTGAATGGGTGTGCAATTTTTAAAATAGGTTGGGGATATTTTACTAGATATATTCAAATTGATATACCTTATTGTATGCTATATCTTAATGACTTAGTATTAATAGGTATGAGACAATAAACTGGAAATTGAAGAATGGATAAATATTTTTGATGATAAGGGGCTGAGGATTGCTAGAACACAAGTCAAGTATGATATATGATTTTTAGTGGGCACGAATGAATAATTACTAGTAAATACTACCAAAAGAAAATGTAATTTATATTTTTAATTTGTTTAAATATGTTGGAATTATCATAAAAAATAATGATATAGATGATTATATAACTTATTGTTTTAAAGTAGTGCGATTAAAATTGAGAAGTATCCTAGATGTATTATGATCTAAAAGAATATCAATGAAACTTAAGGGAAAATTTAGAGTATACTTGGCCATATGGATCCTACGGGTGGTTGATAGCAAACTCACTATAGTCAAGTTGAATGTTATAGAAATGAGAATGTTATACAAAATTTAGAAGCACCGATTAAAAATTGATTATATTAGAGGAATATGGAAGTAAGCCAATGAAGATAAGTTTGTAATAATTGGTATTAGTGGTGTTAGCATGCAAAGTGCAACAAAGGTCAGAAGATGTAGATGGATCCGTAAACTTAATGCATAAATATTAGGAAAAAATCAATAGAAAAAAGTAGCATGGCTAATTGGAGGGCCAAAAAATTTGTGTAGAGAAGGAAGTATTCTACTAGAATATTGGAATGGAGAATGAGATTTCATAATCCAACTCGAAATAGTGGAATAAGATTGATAATGATGATAAGTATTGTTTATTTATGTTAGAATTAGTCCTAGTTGAGTTGGGTAATAACATAATAAATTCTGAGATCCAATTGGTGATTACATTTATTGGTTGTGCTTTACCTTTTTTATAATTTTGTTTTATTTTTAATCATTTATTCACATATTTAGGATCTTTTAAAAATTTCTCTATGTTTGAGTGTTAATAGTTTCGTGCAATTATCAAAATTCTATGTTGAAATTGCTAATATATCCTTATATTATTTCCAGACAAAGCATCGACTCTTACACAATTGCTGCATCCCCAAGCTTTGGGTTACTTGGAGGCACTTCAATTAGATATTCAAGCCTTGACCTTGGCACACAAAGTGGACATGATTTAAATTTGAAGTCACCGTTACTTTTTGAAAGTATTTTAGTGAAAGATGATCTAGATAAGAACTTGAAGAGACCGATCAATTTAATAGGCGACGAAATAATTTCTTCTCACGTGCAATTTCACGAAGGACTTGCTTCTCATGGATGCAGTGTCACACAGACTGTTTTTAATGGTAAAGTCCTTTTTTACTAAGATATCTCTTTTAATCACATTTTATATCATATTGGATTATTAAGATGACTTTTCAATTCATCATATAATTAGATGGATTAAGTGTTAGGAAAAAAGAGCTACAAAGTAGTCTGCCCTTGAACAAGTGTGATGAAAGATAAAGTGTAAAAGAGATTGAACATTAAAAAAAAAATCACCTTCGGCTTAAGCTTATGGAGCAGAGAGTATCCAATCTATTAACAAATAAGCTGTAATCTTGATACACAATAAAAGGATAGTCATAAACCCCTCCTCAAACCCGACTTCACCCACGTTCCACAAAGAAAAAGAGAAGTCTCAAGTCTCACACACAAAGAAGAGGGAAATAACTTATCTTATATTACAAAAATATACTTAAATAATTACAAATAGATAACCCAAATTCTAAAGGTCCTTTAAAAGGATATCATCATCTTATTGAGATAATAATTTGAACTCAAGAAAATGTGTTTCTTTTGATTTCCTACTCGCGCATCATGTCTCTCCTCTCAATTCCTTTTCACGTCATTTACAAAAAACTTAAGATTGCCTTATACTTTTATATATATTAGGCTTCCATGCTCCAACTTATATCAGTCTAATGCAAAATCTTTGAACAAAATTTTAAAGCTTTCACACAAGAAATTAGTTACCTATCTCATCATGCAATTCATGTATGGGATTTTAATTAACATCTTATCAAATCACATACCCCATTTTTCATCTTCCCCATAAGAAGTTTGTAACAATAAATGTTCAGATGGCTTATTATTTCTCTCTAGCTTTGCGCTCAACGCGCTTGAAATAATTGAATTCTTAACATCTACTTAGCTTATTGTATCACATCCATGTAGCATGGTGTATCGAAAGTACTGATAAGGAGGTAAAGAGTATAATAACAACAATGCTTAATATTTGGTATCAACAATCACATTAAGATTTCTCAAAACTATAATGATGAAATTAAATGTATTCATATGTGATTTAATAGGTGTACCTTCTTGCATGCAAAGAAAGTAGAGTCTATCCTAATAGAATTTATTGGAGAAGCTTGAGGTCACGCACAAAGTCTCCATTTTGACCCACAAAGTTTTACAATTGTTTCCTCTAAGAACTCTATTAAGACCATTTTAGCCAGACACAACTGAATTGTTGAGAGAGCCTTACCATCCATCTCTTTATTGCGTTCTTCATTCATCGTTTTTAGGGCCTTTACAAGTCTCTGCTGAGTGCTGACTAAAGCACCACACATCTTGATTTTTTAAAGCCTAAAACTATTTGAGCCCTTAAATTTCTCCATCTTAAACTTCATGGTTATTGTATTAGGCTCTAATACTCGTTGGTTGGAAAGAGTACACTTAATTTATGCCACAGAAGTGTTAACTTAGAAGCAAGTACAATGAACTATGAAGGAACTGCAAAAATGATCAAATGCTAAAAAGAGAACCCCAAAATTTATGTGGTTCATTTTGAGGCTGCATTCACGGGAGAGTGGAGATTATTCAAGCCATTAATAAAAGAAGCAACAATTGTGGTTTAAACTAAAATGACATTTATCAACTTTTCTCAAAACCGGGTGCACCCTCGGTCAACAAAGAAAAAGAGAAGCCTCATGTCTCGCATGACAAGGAAAATATACTTAGGAGAACAAAAAAAATATGATTTTTAAAAAATAAAAAAAATTATCCACCTATAAGTTTCTCAAAAAAGGTACATCCTCATTTCAAGTAGATAATACTTCAAAAAATTGGAAAGAAATTTCTTGTGATTTTCTTCTATTTCTTGTTTTCTTCTCATCTCTCTGTTCAACTCTTCACAAAATACCCAAGATTGCTTTATACTTCCACACAAACTAAACTTAACTACATCAACTTGTATAGCCAACAATTTAAATCAAAGCTACCTAGCTCATACAAAATTATCAAACACATTTTCAAGGTTTCGTGCAAGATGCTTAATACTCACTACACCATGTGATTCATAGATGAATATTGAGTCAATACCTAACAAATCACCTAATCCTTTTTTTAAGCATTCACACGAACTCAAAGTTTTATGCCACAACCAATTTATTCTAAGTCATATTTACTTTTTTTTTGTAGACCTCTTATTTATATTTACTTATATATCTTAAAAAAAAAATTTCACACAAAACTTCCATTATATTGAGTTGATACGTAACATTAATTTCTATTGTTAACCACTCATCCACTCGTATGTTTTTTGCCTAATTTTCTGGTTGACATACAGGAATTAATGTGCTGGCTGGTGTTGGTATTCTTTCCATACCGTATACAATCAGAGAGTCTGGATGGATTGGGTTAGCATTCTTGGTCCTTTTTGCAATGGTTTGCTGTTACACTGGATTTCTTTTGAAGTACTGTTTTGAGAGCAAAGAAGGAATTTTAAGCTACCCAGATATTGGAGAAGCTGCATTTGGGAGATATGGGCGCCTTTTAATATCAGTGAGTTCTTAATTTCTCTAGCAAAATTTATGGGTTGATTGGAAACACTGGCATGAATAAAAACTAAGTGTATAATGCATATGACATACGAAGGTTTAGCTTATGTAACTTGTACTTCTATGCTAAAACTTAAGAACATAACAGGTTACATTAAACTGATTCACTACAGGATATTACGTCCTTCAGTGTTTGTGTTCACTATTGTTTTCTGATTGACCAGTCTTTCCTGGACTGGCTGTGGTCTACAATAGGCGGAAATCCTGCTTGCATTGATTTCGTCCCCCTTTTGGAGTGGGTCTAGGGCAGATTTTGAATGAGGAGGGGGCGGCTAGGAGGGAAAAGGAAGGGGCTGTTTGGGATTTTGTTATGGAATTGTATGCTTTAAATATATTTTTCCCTAGGGTTCAGTTTTTTTTTCTTCCATGCTTGTTTTTGTTGAAATTGAATTTCTTAGATTGTAAGGGTTCTAGATGGTGGCTAGGGATTAGGGAGAGCCGGATCTTCCTCTAAAATCCGGCTGTATCTTGCTATTTTCTTTCATATATATTACTATAAAAAGAGTTTTGGCGTGTTCTTTCCAATTTCTTATTGCTTTTCGCTGATTTTGGCTGAAATTACATCTACTTCCTATTATTTTCATGTGACAAGTTGATGCTAGGAAAATTTATATTCATCTTGATCTACAACAATTAAAACATTAAGCTCAGGGGCTTTTGGCATGAATTTCGGTTATCTTTTTTAATTATCATCATTTAAAGGACATGGTATTTGATGCGAAGAAATATCATTGATCTCTCTCTCTCTTTCTCTCTCTCTTCTTTATTTGTTAGAAGTTAAGTTAACTTATTTTAAAATATTCTTAATTGTTCAAAATGTATTGTTTTAATTTATCTAGAAGTATATTATTGCCTTCCTTCAGGAATTCAAAATCAAAGGCACATAAAAGGATTTGATATAGTAGTTTCTAATGTACCAACCGAGTACATCTCCTTTACAAAAAAATAGCCTTGCAGGTTATTCTTTCTCATTGTTTCATTGTTGATTGCATTATCTATGGAAAGTTTAAGATTGGCTTGTTGTATCACAGATCAAAAATATCTGCTAAGAATGGGCGTGGAAGGGGATGACCCATCTGTTATGCGTTCTGGCTATATAGTATTTTTAAGTCAGGACTGGTGGGCTTTAAAGTTATAATTATTGACCAAAATTTACAAGTTACTCAAAAAAATCGTCAGTAATGTGATTCATATTGAACATTAGAGTCTGTATTTGCAACCACAACTGGAAAAGGAGAAAACTGATAAAATTTTGTTTGATTGTATTTATAATGTTTCCTACAATTGGATCATGGCATGTCCTGCTACAATGCGATAGCTGAGCTAGTGATGCTTTGTATAATAAATTGTTTTTGGTCGATTGATGGTGAAAAAAATTCTGCTCAATTTTCATGTCCAGAAATTAGTAGATTTGCATCTTTCAGAATAATTTTGTTAGAACTAAACGTGCAAACTTAAAAAATTTATCAGTCTGGTTATTTCCTTATAATTTGTTGAGCCAATATGAACATTAAATGGTTGTAATTTTCTTCATTAATCATCATCTTGGTTATCCATTCCTGTACTTAGAGGTGTTAATACTACTTCGGAAATAATTTTTTCCCTACTTCAAATCATATTATCTTTGGTCCACTTCTTTCTATTGCTAAGTCTTTTTTAAGTAAAATATAATTTTATAACTAGAAATTATATCAATACAAGATGGGTAAGTAAAATGAATTAAAGAGATAGAAAAACATGGAAGACTAAATTAGTAGCGAAGAAGTAACATTCCTTTTAAATTTTGGTCACTGATGGGCCAGAAAAATTAGTAGCAACTCTACTTACAAAGGTTACCAAATGTTTATTTCAAGGAGTAAAGCGGATTTGTTAAAATATTGTAAATAATGCTTAGAAATAGCTGCCTAGATATGGGTGATAGATGATTACTCAGAAACATAAAGAAAGGGAAAGTATATACATCTAATAAGTACTAACATAGTAGGTTCATTGAGAGAAGAGTCTCGTGTAGTTTGCTTCTTAGGAAGGTCTTATAATGATATAACAATGGTCCACAAGCATAACTGAATATTCACCAACGAATTATGAACCTGGCATGAATTTGCAAATGATATTCAGCTTGCGGCAGCCGAATGAGAATTTACCAACAATAGAAAATGAAAATGGTTAAGCATGCATAGAGATCTCATCATTAGAGAAGATGAGCTTATGATTGTCTTAAAAGTATAAGCTTGCTTACATAAAGGTGAATGTGAGTCTTGATGAAAAAATAATGAGAATTGGGAGGAAAGAGATCAATGTGATTACGAACCCGACAACCCACATGCTACATTTACAAAGAACGGGAAATGGGAGTATTATGAAAGAGCCATTGAGACAATTGAATCAATTGATATTGGTGGTGATGATGGTGTCCGAATGAAGGGAGCCACCATAACCCTAACACCTGTCTAAAGAGGGAGTGATTTAAGCTTTTACGAATAGACAATCCTAACAATAGTTTAAACTACCGCAAGAAGTTGTTCTAAAGAAAAAAAAATATGTTTTTTTTATTGCTTTTCTTTACAATATTAGATATCCATATATTAATACATTTATAAAAACAAAAAATAATAATTGATTATTCATTCGTGGCCAATTTAGTTCTAGAGCATCACATATATCCCATTTAGTCCATCGATTATAAAAAATTCACCACAGGAAAGTTAGCAGTTTGCAACGGACTTCATAGCGAATTATTTTTTGGTCAAAAATATCGATAGATTTGCGATAGAAATTTTCGGAGATTTTTTTTCGCCACAAGCTAAGTTATAATATAATTAAAAAAAGCTTTTATGTTGTTCTGTCTTCGCGGTCGAGTGGAGAAGGGCAATGGTATTTGACGAGTGGAGTAGGGTTCGAATCTTGTGCAGGCTGGTTAGGAGGGAGATGGCGCGGGTAGTTCGGTCAGGCACGGGTAGCTGGTCAGGCGCGGACAGAGGTACATGCGGTTAGGCTTGGGCAACGGGCATCCCCCTCGGCTAGGCAGAATTTGTGGTTTTTTTTTTTTTTTGGCTAAAATTCTGCTACAAATTCGTTGGAAATATTTGCGGCGGATTTTTTTCCGACACAAATAATTTTATTGCGTCACTTTTTGCGTTGGATTATATTATGCCGCAAATCCGTCACAAATCGTAATTTGCGACAGATTTTTTTATTTTGCTGTAGATTTGCAAAAAGGTAACTTTCATGTTGTGATTGATTCCAAATAGTCCCCCAATGATTATATTGTAAAGAGTTTTATATAGTTGAGCAACTAATTTGGGATCAATTTGTATCTCGATTTTCATTAATTTTTATATGCGTGATTATTTTGGATCAATTTCATAGTGATGTGAAACATTCAAGAATTGCACATGAAATTCATTAAGAATCACAAAGTTTACCAAAGTAAGATTAGGCTTTCCGTAAATTAAGATTCAAGCATTTTCCATTGATGACATGTTATGACAAGCAGTTTCAAGCTAGTGTTTAGGCACAATTAATGATGAATCTCCAAAAGTTCACAACAAAGCAAATGCGGAAAATTAATAAAATCCCACGACTAATGTTTAGAAATTTCACAATGAATACCTTGCTCACTCACACTCAATTCGGGTTAGCGGGAGAAGGCCTTTAACAAACTCAACGATGCCACGAAGATGGTGGCCACACCGATGGCCTTGAGCCACGGAGAGGTTGACGGTGACGAGGAGGGCGTGAATGCTTGGCTTTCAAGACTCCACTTGTACTTTGAGAATTGTCGGTCGAAGATGCTGGCAAGGATCGGGACGACTCTCTCCAAATACTCTTCCACGGTGGTTTCGCCTTCAAATCCTACGTCGAAGCACGGAGACCGTAGGATGTTAATGCTTCCGTCGGCGTTGAAGATTAATCCCCACTCAAACTTCGGATCCGCCATGCATGCTTGATGTTGGCAAATCTTTCGAAGAGACGAGATTTAAGTGATGATGATGGAGGATCCTTGCGCCAAGAGGGGAGGATGAGGTGTGGGAGGCCGGCGGGAATTCACAGGGGATGGGGCGGCTTAATAGGGAGAGGGAGGAATTGCTAAAGTTAAAACTGAAATTGAATTTCAGTTTTAAGTGGATTGGGAGGTAAATTTTGAAATCCAATTTGATTCCAAAACGGTCATGTCACTAAATAGCATTTAATGGGGGAATCTCCCTAGTGTGGCCGGCGGTATGCTGAGAAGAGGAGAAGTAATTTCATGAGGTGGCTTCCCATTTGAGTTAGTGATGTGGCACGACGCGATTAAAACTCCAATATCAAATGGAATTAAAATTAGAAACCGTCATGAAAACTTTCCAAATTTGGAATTCCAAATTAGGAAAGAATTTGAAATTTAAAATTCAAATTTCAAATTTGGGTATGTGGTAGAGATGGGGTGGACAGTTGAGGTGGGGTCGCCGGCGGGGTGGTCGGCCGGAGCCGGGGATGTGGCCGGCGGTGAATGTTCAAGGGGCGGCGGCAAGTGGAAATGGGAGGGCTGTTCTTGTGGAGGATGGGAAGGAGATGGATATGAATACTAGCGAGAAGATAAAGAAAATCTAACCACGAATCGAGGAGTCTTCCAACGATTGGTGGGCCTTGCGAATTGCTCCACTTGAGCTCTCTTCCTTCTCAAGCACTCATGCTAGAAAAGTAGAAACAAACATAATTTTTTTTATTCAACATTCATTAACCATAATACAACATGAAATGACCTATATATAGGTCCCAACACAAAAGAAAGTACAATGACTCTATTGCCCTCGGGGATACACTCATGACTCAGCTCATACTAAGGGTACAATAGGAAATTCTGAGAAATAAAAGAAAATGCATAAAAGAAATACATGAATAACTAGAAATATAAACTCTGAATCGTGGCCGTCGATCTGCGCTGTCTACGGCGATACACAT